TTGAACAAACCCCATATTTCAATCACATCACACGTATACTTCCTATCAGCTTGTATATAGAAAATCTTCTTTATATACCTCTCACTCATTTTGCTTTTTTTTCGTGATCTTCATCTTATTTCTTTATTTCACTCTTTTTTTAAGCGTTTTTTTCATCCTTTTTTCATTAATAATTTTCTGTCAATTTTTTGATTCTGTGATGATTTGTAACTTTTGATAAAAAATATATCTACATAATAAAATTTAGAATAAATACAATGCTTTATGTTAACAAATACAGATGTTTAAAGTTTGAGATACAAATAATTATGTTGATATTTTTATTTATCAGGGAAATAAGCCTCAGCTGGTAAAAAACTGTTAAGCAATACACTACCATTTTGGCCTTATTTATCTATATTCATATTAATAAAATGCCTAAATATATTTTTGTGTTTCCTTTTGAATATTTATATAAAATTCGATGTTTATTTCTTTTTTGGCTTACCACCCCTGTTCGGCTGATAAGAGTGCCCCCGCCGGGTTTAGATGCTGAAGTGGGGATTTTGGGGGTAAATGCCCCTTGTTTAAAAAAAACACAAACCACGGGACGGAACTTTTTGGCCCCCAAAGGTAAAATTTCCTTTTCCTTTTCCCTTCTTTGGTTTTTAAATAAAAAGCCATGCAGGGAAAGTTGAAAATAAAAATTATATATGCCCGGGAATTTTTTCAACGAAAAAAGCCTTTGATAATTTCTTTTGATATTTTATTTTGTTTTGAAAGGTTTTTTCATCCGTTTTTAAAGGGGTGGAAAACCATTTTGGAAAAATAGATATAAAATAAAAATTGGGCTTGCAAACTTCTTTTGGGGGTTTTTTAAAAAATATCAGTCCATTACTTTTCCTAAGATTTAATATTTTAGTTCCATTCGCGAGTGAATCTCCACTGTAATATTCCTTTACAATAACTTGTGAAGTAAAATTGATCTACTATCAAAATCTATATATTGATACTATCTACAACACATATAATCAGATCTTACAAGAAGAAAAATATACCAAGGTAATAAAACTACGAACTTACCGTCTTGTGCAAATTTAGAGACCAATTTTAATTTTCAACCCATATCAATACATGTATTATCTTATTAACGTTTTTCTTCCTCATTGCGAAGAAAGCAGGCTTTGCAGTATGGACATATTATTATAATTCAAATTCTTCAGTGTGTCAATAAATATTGAATAATAAAAGTATAGACGTTCATGAAATGTTTATACATCATGAAATCAAGACGTTATTTTGAATCTCAATCGTACAGGTGTATTGCTTTACAATCGTTTTTGCAGCATTGAATGATCCAAAAAACATTGTGCCATCATTTATTGAAGAGTTAGAATAGAATAAAGTAAAAATGCCTATTTTATAATAAATATGGATTTAAAAGACGAACATTAAAACAATGATACAATCACAATTGGCACAAAATAAGTATTTGCAAAAACATCAAATAACGTAAAAAAATCATCACAAAAGGTAAAGTTTTGGGACGGACCAGTTGAATTGATTTTATACATTTCCGTAATGCCAAAAAGTCGTGATTGCTTGATATCTAAAGTCATTCTTCCTTATAAAAAACTTTGAAGGTAGCAATCGCATTAAATTTACATCACCATTATCTAAAATCACTCTAGATTGGAGTTTATTTTCATGTTTTTACACAATCATGTTTAATTGGGTACCGGGACCTTGTTTATTACCAAATTTCCTTTTACATTTAACATTCCTTTATTAAACCAAATATTTCACCAAAACCTTCATTTTAATCACCGCAAACATTGTATACATTCATATCAGCTAATTATCAAAATTTCTTCTCTGTATTCCTCTCACTAATTGTGCTCTATTTTGTTATCTTTATCAAATTTTTATATTTCACTTTTTAAAGCCTTTCTTTCCTCCTTTCTCTTAATAATTTCTGTTTATTTATGTTTCTGTGATAATTGGTAATTTTAAAACTATATATATCTACATTATATTTTAAAAAAAAATACAACGATTTGTTATAACAAATACAGAATTTAAATTTAAGTTGAAATATCATTTTGATGATAATTGTATCAAGGAGATAAGCTTAAGCTAAATGCTTGTTTTTTGCCTTACTTTATATATTCACATATACTTAATGCCTAATACCATTTTGTGTTTCCTTTGTATATTGATATTGTGAGGTTAGGTGATTTTTAAATTACATAAGCTTCTTACTTAGTTAACAAAATGATAAAGGTAATTAAGTATTACTAGCACCATGGATAATTACCATAATTATTGTTACATTTTTACTTACATTTATTGAGGTCAATATCACATGTGTACATGTATAATTTAAGAAATCATAACACGAGAGGTGATATTTACATAAATACTTATTGTCATGCCTATTGTTAGAAAAATACCTGTTTCTACTAAGCACATCAATAATTTTATTCATCTTCACTTCTTTGTTATGAAATACGAGTTTATGTTATAAAATTTCTCAATTTTCTAGTCCATGTCCGCCATTTTGTTATACTTCCGGTTTAGTTCTATTTATAATCTCAACTCGAGGTCAGATTCATATAAATGATTTCTGAGGCAAAGTTGATTAATAGATTAACTGTTATGTATTATTTATTGATTTAAATTGTATATTTGTTCTTATAATGAAATATTATGACATATATATTTTCTATTGTAACCTCGAACCACCTAATTTGCATACCAAAATATGTTCGTACTCATTTGCATACCCAAAGCTAATACCAGCGTTCGTATACCAAAAAAATCACTTTGCCTCTGTCCTTACAGTAGAGTAGACGTACAAATTTTGTCTCATTCAAACCTTTCATAAATTCTAATAAAAGTTTCATTCATAACTAAATTTCATCTTGAAAAGGTATCTTGTAATAAGTTATTTTAAACTTGTTACCGGAAGTTCAGTATCGGTAACGATTTTGTTTACAAACTGTCAAATTTCTGACTTAGTCTTTTTGGGCACATTATTCGGTATTTCGTATATTTGACGGCACTTTAAGTTATAGATAATCGATCTGACCTCGAGCTATTATAGTTTTTCACATTTATGCCATTTATTTATGCTGAAATCGTTACAGTATTTATACATTCATGCATTTGGTCTGAATCCAAGCCACGGTTATTTGTTAAGGCCCATTACAAAAATAAATCATAATTTAAACCGAAAGGAATGGCTTTGTCCTGAATTTTAGTTAGTTTTCCATGTGTAATTTTTAATTGGCCGCTACCAGGCTTGTTGTTTACGCTACCAGTAAACTGTTTAATTACTTATTTACGTTAATACTGATTAACTTTAGCAATTTATTTGAATAATTGCTGATGTAGTACCCTTGCACATTGAAGTAAAAAGTACCCATTAAAACAACCTGACTATAAATTCTGAGCAAACTTGGTTAAGAGAGAAAAACAGGTGATAGTCGAGAGAAAAGTCATACACACGATACAGGGGCGCTACAATATATACATCAGACATTGATTCTACTTTAAGGTCTTAATGACGGGTGTTCAGCTGATAACGAGTGCACAGACGTTGAAAATGCTGAATGTGGTACTGGCGGTAAATGCACTTGTAAAGATACACACAAACCACATGCCACAGACGGAACTTGTGAACCTAAAGGTAAGTTTCCTTTTCCTTTCCATTCTATTTGGTGTTTTAGTAGGAGCCATGCAGGAATGTTGAATAGATAAAATATGATATATGCAGGAATTTTCTCAACGAAAATAGCCTTTGATAATTTCATTTCGATATTTTATTGTATGTGAAAAGATACCATCATTCGTTTTAAAGGAGACACAGGCAAAATGTTCATGTCTTCTTTTAGATTTTTTTATTCATTATCCTGTAAATGGCCTCAAAGTTATTACATTAGGCATTCAAAAGAACAAAACTTTTCTCCTTATAAGGAATGAAATAGTGGTTACCTAACTTGATCCACGTGGGTCTGTCTGGTTAGAGCGTTACGATCTCACAATAGTTGTCACAGTTAACTCTGTAAACGTTAAAGAATATCTGAAATGTTATTGAATGACTTCTAAAACAGCAGGTGTCAAGTGCTGTGTGGCAGCTGTAAAAAGTTGCCCCGTACTTCACTTCAAAGTTGTTATATTTTTCTGGTCCTTTGGGATCATTGATGCCAGCACTATTAAGTGTTGAGAATTGAGTACCGTTCAAGCCGGTGCTAGGGGGCGTGTGGAATGTTCATTATTCCTCATGTACAGACTCAATCAAACCGAGTCTGCAATTCTCTTGTTATTTTGTTGTGATGAATGCTTCCGAGGGATCACTTTGTTTCCAGATTTTTTCTAAAAGACTTGTTTTAACCGTACAATATCCCAAATATCTGTAATTGTAACGAAACTTCCAAATCACATTACCTGTTTTAAATCTACTCTACGATTTTGTCGGTGTCTAAATTTATTCAACATATATTGATGTATTTACGCTTCAAACCCAAAATATATAGATTATATACAGAAATTCATCCTGGGACTTTAAAAAGTGCCATTTTATGGTGATTTGAGCATATAAGATGATTTTGATATTTTTGTCATTAATTTGCCTAAGTACCCGTTTAAGGGATTGAAAACCGTTTCCAAAAGTAGATATAAAATGGAAACTTGTCTTCCAACTTCATTCTTGGTTTACGAAACTATGCACTCCATACTTCCTAAGACCATATGTTAGTGCCAAACCCGGGTGAATTTCCACTGTAGTATTCCTCAACAATAAAATTTGAAATAAAATTGATCTACTACCAAAATTGTATATTGAACCCATCTACAACACACATTTTCAGATCTAACAATAATAAGAACATGAATGAAAAATATACTATGTTCATAAAATAATGAATTTAAAAATATAAATACATGTATTATCTTATTTACGTCTTTCTTCCTCATTGAGAAGAAAACAGGCTTTGCAGTACGGACATATTATTATAATTAAAATTCTTAGTGTGTCAATAAATATGAATAATAAAGTAAAGACGTTCATGAAATGTTAATACATCATGAAATCAAGACGTCATTTTGAATCTCAACCGTACAGTGTATTGCTTTACAGTCGTTTGTTGCGGCATTGTATTATCCGAAACAAATGTTTCACTTTTTATTCAAGAGTAAGAATAGAAAAAAATGCCATTTTCAAAATAAATGTGAAATCAAGAAAGGCAAATAAAACAATAATTGTGACAACATTTGACACTAAGAATATGCAAGAACATTATATAACGTAAAAATCATCACAAATGTGTGTTTTGCACAAGTTTATTTTGGTTTCTTTCATTTCGTCATGTCATATTCGTGCTTGCTTGAATGATATCTTAAGGCATTCTTCCTTATAGAAACTTTGAAGGCAGCATTTACTTAAATTTATATCACCATTATTTAAAATTGCTCTGATAAGTATTTTCATGCTTTTACACAAACATTAAAATGGTACCGACCTGTTTATTACATTATTCATAATCATAAACATGACATTAATATCACCATTTAGTTCGTCAAACTGTTTTGTTATCTTCATTAATTTCTATTTTTCACTCTTTGAAGCGTTTCTTTCCTTCTTTCTCATAATAACTTTATTATTTGTTTTTCTATGATAATTGGTAACCTCAAAACTAAATAGATCTACATAATAAAATCTTAAAAACATAATGATTTATGTGAACAAGTACGAATGTTTTAAATATGAGTTTAAATATCATTGATGGTTCTATCAAGTAGATAAGACTCAGTTAGGCATTGTTACTATTTTAAGGTCTTAATGACGGGTGTTCAGCTGATAGCGAGTGCGCCACCGTTGAAAATGCTGAATGTGGTACTGGCGGCAAATGCACTTGTAAAGATACACACAAACCACATGCCACAGACGGAACTTGTGAACCTAAAGGTACGTTTCGTTTTCTTTTTCTATTTTTCGCTAAATTTAACAAGTGTATATGTTCCTATACATTATATTCACATCGAATATGTAATTTTAATGTTTAAGCAATGAATGTCCGGCTGACACAAATTGTATGGCGTCGCTTATTCTATATGTGGTTCTGGATTTTAATAGTAGTGTACTTGTAAATGCACTCCTAAATCACATGAAACAGAAGAAACTTCCATTCTTCTTTTTTCTTCTTATTTACTTTATAATGACACAACGTATTACTTTTTATCGTAAATCAAACAGCAATGTCTCGGACTTTAAAAGTTCAAAGCAACCATGATTGTTCAATTTGTTGACATCACCGAATTTAGCTGAAACACTACTGGCGGGGGAAGGGGGACATATTTCCTTCAACACGCTATTTCAAAAAAGACATTTTGACTTCATCGACAATACATACACCACAATTACATCCATCTATTGCTAGTTTGTTAACTTACACATTTTAAAAAACAATATGGCATTCGCGGCAGAGTTTCTCAGAATTGACTTTAAGATAAAACTTTATTATCCTGTTTAAAATGACGAATTTCGAAAGATTTGAAAAAATAAATGACAAAAAAAGACAATTTATTAAGCTTAAATCCTGCTACATGAGTATACGTATGTTTTCTTAGCTCAATAAGAAGACAAACATTAATTCAAGAGTCAAAAGTCTGTTCCTCGCGGGCAATGGAAAAAATCTATATGTGTTTGGTCATTGCGGTAAACTTTATATACATATAGTTAACGTTTTTTTATTGCTAAAATACTATGTGAACTTATTGATTTGTGTTTTATTACGTTTTGACCTTGACCTTTTTACTATTTCATATGCTCATCTATTTGTTATACATACTTTATGCGCATTGGTATACCGCCCGGATGTATTATAGTGAAATAAACTCTTAAACTCTTGTTTAAGCCAAATGAATATTTAACAACAGTAACAAAAATAGAAACAACAACAACACTACGACAACTATCAGACAAGTTATTTCCTCTTATAGAAATTGGGCAATTTAGAATTAATTTGAATTCTCTATTTCTATATACAGAATCCATATTTACAAAAATACCGATTTTCGTATTTTAGTTATATATGTATACGGCTTTGTTATAAATCAAAGGGCTGCAGCTCTATGGTATTTTCTGATTTTTGCAATCTAAATCATACTGACTATCTGTATGTACTTTCCTGTATAAGTTTATTTTTATATACTATAATTCATCTTACACAGCGACAGCGTTTTGATTTTCTTCTATAACAGTTTGAGATTGATACATATGGAATGTTGCATGAAAAAAAAAATAGAATAACCTCGACTAGGATTTGAACCATAGGCCTCTCACACCCTCAACGAGACCGCTTACCTCTGCACCACGGCGAAGTTATACATATATACCTTGAATAAAAACGAATACATTATGTAATTCTAAATTGAGAATTTCCATTTCGTGTTTGTAATCCTTATTAATTTCGAGGTATTTTGTTCACGATAAACCTGTTGTTTAACACTGATGAAAATAATATAGCGAAAATCTTCTCGCCAAAACAGTCCGACATGTATATATTCCACTACCCGACAGTCAGATTTATTTGTGTACTACGCTCTGGAGTATTCGGTAATCGACATAGCTAAAAATAGCATTTTCATTGATTAAAATGATATTCATGATAATCCGAAGCTTTACGGAAATAGTCGAACATTTTTCATTGGGTAAAAAAGATATTCATCCGCGAAATTTGTGATTGTAACCTCATATTTCTGTTGACTAATCTAAACTTTTAATGCACTGTAATTCGTTAAATGCCTTCATTAAAAATTATTCTTTCTTTTAAATTGCTGGTTCTTAAGCAGTTTTGAGTGAGAACTACTTTGCGTTGTTAGGACTGTGAGGAAATTTTGTGTTAGACCGTGGATGTTAGCTATGTATTTACTGATCTTACGATCAGAAAATACAAAAATCGTTATTTTAGTGGAATATGGACTTCGTACAAAAGTCTCTGTATGTCACGTGTGTACGGATCACCGTATATTAGTCTTATACAGAGTATTTTACCCGTACATTAATGATAAACAGAGCTTCATAAACTTCCTTATATTGCTCACAGCTGAATACTCTTCCAAAATGAAGTTCTGCATTAGACGTAGACTCTTATACCTTAAGAAGTTGTATGTTCATGTCTTAAAAGAACGTAATCTGTGTACATAGTGTCTTAAACAGAAGTACGATAATCGAACATTTAAAGCTTTAAAATATATACAGAATTATGTTATCATAAATATAATCAAAATAGTGTTAACTTAAGGTAAACTGCATAATATTGCGAAAGTATTGATAGTGGATCAAAGATGAATAGGTTAAAAAAAATATTTTAATTTTAAATCAAACGAATTCCAAACTTCTGATACAATGTACTTTATTTCACAAATGTAATAATTTAGTCCTGTTTATGAATTTGTTTATGTTTTGATACATTCGAAATATTGAAAAATGAATTATTCTGTGCAATAGTAAAATATAACTTGTTTCTAGAATTTCTTTACTTAGCATTTCTTTTTACCGTACTTAAACTTGCAAATTAAACACGGCGAGGGTCCCCCTAACGCTTTGTATGTTGTACACAATTCTCAAAGCATGGTGTTTTCAGATGAAATTATCTAATTTACACCTATTTGTTTTATTTTAGTAAACAAAAGACAAGTTGTTATCATTTGAATATTATTTTATATTAATTTTCTTGCTAATTAGATCAGCTTAAATAATCATAACACGTTTATGCAGACACTGTAATTCTAACATAACACCTTTTACTTATAAATTTTAAAAAAACTTCTACGTTAGGCGCTTCATTGAAATTTCAGTGCATATTGTGTATCTCTGAATTTAATCTAAATTTTGTACTTGCGCTACAAAAAAATGGCAAAATCAATGCCAAATTACCTAACTTATACGTGTACTGTACATTAAAATACCAGGTAATATTATTTATCTGAATGGAATATATCCTTTTTCAGTTGTAGGAAGTACTTGTAGCGGAAGTGAGGCATGTCCCGGTGACGAGAATACAATATGTAACAATAATAAATGTGAATGTAAAGAGGACTTTGCAGAAAAGAATGACGTTTGCACATTGAGTAATATCATATAACACAGTTGATTTATAAAACTTTAAGTTTATAAAGCTTATAGCAATAACCTTATATCCTTAACTAAAACAGGTCATTTTAACATCTTGATATTTGATTTTAAAATGTACTTTTTAATACAAACTATATATCTATTTGTCTTTTCAGAATTTGTCTCTATCTATAAGTAATGCTTTATTTGCAAAGTCAGTAAACGTAACACATAGCATACATCTTATCTAATTGTTAGTTTTCCAGAATTTGTATCTTGAAATAATGTGCTATTTCAGCTGTCAGTGGAAAAGATTGCTCAGATACATCAAAATGTGAAATTGACAATGCTGTCTGTGACACAGAAACTAGTAAATGTAAATGCGACGCTGACTTCACGATGAACGTTGACAAATGTGACCCGAAGAATGCTGGTAAACTATTTTACATTTAAACATGTGAAATCAATTTCGGAACACATTATGAGGAAACTGATTAATATCGTTAAATCTAGAATACATGACAAATAATTTGCGTTTCAAAATATTGAAAAATATTCTGTCTGGTTAAGAACTGATTGATATACCCCTACATAACTTCAGTTACATAATTGGACACATCAAATAATTAACAGCACCTTTAACATGCCAATCAAGAACATTTTATTGATTTCATTATGATATCAGAAACAATTCGTTGTATTCTTATTTATATTTTAGCTGCGATGACTGGGTTCGGAGCAATTGTGTTTTTGCTGTCGGTTCTATCAGCATGTCTTATGATGTTCTAAAGGACAAGGATTTTGTAAGTGTAGTCTTATTATATTATCATCAGTGCCTAATTATTTATGAGTTCATTTAGCATAACCAAAGCAGAAATAAATTCATTAGCTATGAATGTAAATATGAATCTGTACTCGATTTTTTATGTTATAATAAGGTACATCTCGCAGTTGTCTTTCTTTCCCTTTAATACTTATAACCACCATAAGTATCTTAACCCCGTTACGACAGTGTTTTACGAAATGCACTTCATTTCATAATTCCAGTTCTGTAGCCCCTTTATTCTCGCAAGTACGTACAAATAAAGAAATACACACATGCGAGAGAATGCTCGTGCAAATATCTAGAGGTTAATCACATTAATATCAAATATTTATATCCATTTCAGGTTGGTTTCAAATGGATTTGTATCCGTCACGTCCAGCGTTTGCTTTAATTTGCTCGTGTGAAATCTATAATTCAAGAATTCATTTATTTTCCTTAATTAAAAAGCATCATACAATTTCTATGTTTCATAATTCATTGTTACTTTATTATTAATATCAACTTAAATAGAGAGACATTTACTTTCGATTTTGCTTAAGTCTGTGTTATGGGGCGTGGACAGTCGTTCGCAGTACTGTCCATGAATAGCCTCAATCTAACCGAGCCTGCAATATATTTTTGATTTCGGTGTTCTGGACTTTCTTTAGGGATTCTATTTCTCTCTATTTTACCCATATATATTTTCTATGAAATTTATTCATTGGTAATGACGATCCTTACAACACACAACAGAAAGGCTTAAAAATGCGTTTTTTATTTTCAAATGAGGAATTTTAAAGATTAAAGCTGCATTAAATAAATATCATAAGAAAAGAAATAGCAACATTCCTTAAATGTGCTTCATATCGACTCATGCCTTTAGTTTGGTGCCCAGACCACCAAAATGGTATTTTAAGCCTAAAATTCGCAACCTCATTGTGGAAAAATCGGACGTACAATTTTTGTATGCGTGAGAAACTCGCCTTTGAGTCATCCGTACATCAATAGAAAAAGAACAAACACTTTAGGTAGCAGTCCGAATTTAACGGAAAATTTCTGCATTATATTACGGATGTTTTCATACAAATTCAATTTTTTATGTGATAATTACTTTCTTGTTAACGACAGAGCTAATGCACCGTGAAACTCAAACGGTAAAATTTTATTTGCACAAGGATATCTCATATTTGCTGTGATTTGCATGGTTACAATTGATTTACCACTGTGACGTAGCGCATACACAAGCTAATTAGACTAGTCTTTATTTGTATGTTAAAATATACGACCTTTAGTGTTACCGTGGGGTTTTCCTTTTAAAATCATAACTTATGAACAACTTTAACGAGATTAACAACAACAGCAACAAACAGAAACACATAATTTTAGCACATTATAACAATATTGTTAAGATGGTAGTTCACATTTTGAATCATTATATGTATTCATTGTTTTCTTTGATATTTGTATCTTTTTAAACAGTTTCTCATTTTCTGTTCATCTGTGTTTCAAAATATTCAGATTAAGAAGTAAATTTTACAACTGTTTAGTTCTTAAATGAGGGTTAATGTTTACTATATGAAAATATTTTGGTTGATCGTTCTACTTTTATTTCATTAAAAGTGGTATGTTGAAATCGAAAAGGTAATTAGTCGGTATAGAGTATTATCCGGGAAGAATTTATTATAAAAAGTTAATGAGTGTTTTGATTAATTGTATCCTCGTTTGAAATAAAATTATTCATACACGTTTGTTTAATGCACACACTTATCAAATAGAATTGTATCATTGTGTGTAAACTTGAAGCTAAACTTGTGGACTTATTTAAGACAGTTTAATGACTAGTCACAACGAGAATATATGAGATTGGAGATATCATCAGTATATGACTTCACACATGTTACATTACCGTTTAATATTCCCGATGAACGCCATGTGATTATGGATAAACGTTTCTGCTCATTTAAGAATCTATATAAGTACACATTGTGACATTTTAGAATATCGTGTATTCAATAAGATCTTAAATACAGAAACATAAACACAAAATCCCTTGTTTCTTTAAAATGTTGTACTTCAAAACTTTTAGCCATTTTTAATGAAAAGTTATTTGGTATTATTATTTATAATCTGCTAAAAATGATTTATCTGTTATGATAGTATTTTTTTAAAAAAGTATTCCTATAATAAACAGTTGTAACATATACAGTGTATTTTGTTTTATTTTACGAGTTATTTGGAACCAGAAATACGTTATTTCAAATATTGTTGTCACTCAAGAAACACACTTATTATACAACAATTTTCCTTGTCAACATCAAAAGTGAATTTTGTGTCAGTCAGTTACATAGTTTTGACTAAACATCAAAAGAATTAATTCGCCACGGCAAAAGGACGATAAGAGCCAGTTATTAAGATAGGAAAGATATATAACAACCCAAGTTTTTAGATTAAAAACTATTTACTATGGTTTTGGCAGAATTTTGTCCAATGGCTAGATATGTATTCCGGATAATCGGAAATACATATAGTATAATGATTACAATATAACTAAAAGCTCCGGACAATCGGAAGTGAATTTTACTAAAGCCCATATGGCTGATTACACTCCGGACAGTCGGAAGTGAATTTTTATATTTTGAAAAAGAGACAACGTGCTGGCAAATGCCATGCCTTAAACATATATTGTAATGATATAATGACTGACTGATACATATATAATGTCATATACAAGATTGTTGATTTCACTCCGGACACTCGGAAGAGAAATAACAAATAACAGAAACTAACTTAATATTTACTAAATAATAATGTCTGTAAGCACTTGTCTCAAATGTCAACAGTCACATTGTAAATCCAGCCATGACGTTTTATTTCAATGAAATACATTCATGATGAAAGTTCTTCATAGATACATCTGAAAATATAAATTAGGAAAGCACAACCAAAGGCAGAAAATCATTAGGGAGGGACAGGGTGGGTTTTGATCGTTTAAATTAAACATTATGATGTGGAAAATACTCTAACAAATACGAAACAGCTTTTACCTTTCAAAAGACTTCAAAAAGGGAGGGAAACTAGTATAACCCAATGAACATTATAATAAAACATGATTATCTCCCCTCTAATAAAAAGCATTATTAAAATACAAGAATTCGCATAATGCCAAATTATTAAGATAGGAAAGATGTATAACAACCCAAGTTTTTAGATTAAAAACTATTTACTATGGTTTTGGCAGAATTTTGTCCAATGGCTGGATATGTATTCCGGATAATCGGAAATACATATAGTATAATGATTACAATATGACTAAAAGCCCATATGGCTGATTACACTCCGGACAGTCGGAAGTGAATTTTTATATTTTGAAAAAGAGACAACGTGCTGGCAAATGCCAAGACGCGAGTAAAGCAAGATGCACAAGTGTCCCGCCATAAAGAAACTTATGCAAAGCGGAAAAAGGACGTTGTCAAATAAAAACCATGGACAAAATCTTTTAAAAATATTAGCAGAGTATACTATGGGAAATATCTCTTGGAAGATGTGGCAAAGGTATAAATTGCACCCTGTAATGTGTTGAGCATAATATCAACACCTAGGTCTGTCAGGTGGGTACTATCCCTAAATAATTCTGGGGAAGACTCTTTTATTTGGGGATATTGTAGATAATTACTAAATGAAATATGTAGTTCTTGATCTTTTTTTTTTTTGAGCTACTTAAAAGAAGTTGAGAAAGTTCAATAAATTCTCCATTCCAAATTTTCTGTTTTAAATTATCTGAAACATGGAGAGAAATATCAGAAGAAACAGAATTAAAGTTACCGTATGTGTGTGGTTCAAATAATGGCTGAGGTTCCAAGGGTGCTGAGGCTGCATTTTGTTGCTCTATAGGTTAGTTGAGGCTGGCAGTTGTTCCGGAAGGTTGCTCAATGCGTAGATGTGATTTTGTGGTTGCAGGGCACCGGGAAAACTGCATAATTTTTTATTCCCGTTTGAGCTCCTGTTGAAAATCAATTTTACTTGTGGGAATAAATTGTTGTTGCTGGGGGGTAGAATTTGCTGTGGAAATAGTCGAAACAGATGGTTGTTTTAAAAATGAAACTCTTTTTTTTAAATTCTTTTGGTTGGGGTTTCTTTTTTTGGGGGTTTACGGGGGGGTATTTGTGCTTGTTGTAAGCTGCCCAAATGTCATGTAAGTTTGCCCTGTGCTGGGGGTTTCGGGGTTGGGGAAGGGGTTGAAACTTTCCCTTTAGGGGAGTTTGGGAAAAACGGGTCTGGTTTCTCATATGATCAACCTGTTGCCTAAGATTTCCACGACGACGTGAGGGCACCTCTTCCACGTGGGCATATTGACAGATATGAAATCAAAATAAATGTTATGATTAACTAACAAGGTTCAATAAATGTTATAAAAACCTCCAATTTTTATGTGCAGCACAACGCATAACACATTTATAAATCTGAATAGAAGCCCATTTGGCATACAATATTATTAATGGACCTCATTAATGTTGAAGTCAAAATTTTAAATACATATTAATTTACTTTTAAAAGTAACTATATTAATCATACAGAATTTATTGATTATTATAATTGATGCCCATTTGGCATAAAACATTTTTGTTTTGTGATTTTAGAATATATCTTGAAATACGAAAATTTATACTGTTTACTCCAAAATATAAAGATTCATACAAATAATATATTTTAGATCTATATATATAAATATCTATATATAAATAAAATGATAAAAAAACCCCATTTGGGATTTATTAACAAATTTTGACTGCACGCACATGTGGCGTATTGGCAAGTCAAAAAGTTAAAGAATAAAATTATAACTCCTTAAGTCAGACGTATCATACAAATATATGTTGAACAAAAAACCCATTTGGCATGATAAAAAGGCCCATTTGGCAAACAAATTATTATTATTATTATTTTGCACGCCCATATGGCGAATGGTAAGGCAAAACATAAGAACATATATTTATAATTCCGGGAAATCGAAAAATATATGCAAATATATGCATACAAAAACCCATTTGGCATACTGTAAAGGCCCATTTGGCAAAACATTTTTTGACTGCGCGCCCATATGGCGTATTGGTAAGTCAAACATTAGGGCTTATATATTTATAACTCCGGAAATCGAAAGTATTCATGCAAATAAAATGTATAACAAAAGCCCCATGTGGCATAATATAAGGCCCATTTGGCACAAAAAAATGATTTTTTTGACTGCGCGCCCATATGGCGTATTGGCAAGTCAAACATAAGTGCATATATTTTATAACTCCGGAAATCGGAAGTATCATACAAATATATGCAACAAAAAATTAAATAAATAATAATAAAAACATGCAATTTATAATTTATACTAACATTCGGTGTTAAATATAAGTCATATCAATTATTTAAAGTCATATCCGCGGATATGACTCATATCCGGTATTAAGACATATTCGTCTTCAGTGCATCAAACTACATGCAATTTCATTTAGGCCTATCCCATATTCAGGTGTGCGAATTGCATAATTAATCATTCCATGATAAATTTTAATTTTCCAGTGCATTACCTTCTATCGGCTAAAGCATATTGGTGTTATATTACTTTTTTTTTTTTTTTTTTTTTTTTTTTTTTTTTTTTTGGCAGCCATTTTTTTCCATTTTGGAACATGTGCTCTAACGATGAAAAATAAAGATTAAATTTTCAGCATTTTCACATGCAAATAAACTATTTCAATAGCATGTCAATATGAATAGTATATTCGTATAACATAATTACACAAACTTACAACATTTTGATCGTTTGAATTAAACATTATGATGTGAAAATACTCTAACAAATACGAAACAGCTTTTACCTTTCAAAAGACTTCAAAAAGGGAGGAAACTAGTATAACCCAATGAACACTATAATAACACATGATTATCTCCCCTCTAATAAAAAGCATTATTAAAATACAAGATTTCGCATAATGCCAATTATAATAACAAGTTCAGCTAGAAAGAGACAAATAAAAAAGGATCATAATTATGAAACGGTAAGTTAAAAATGACATTAAAAAGAAACAAAAATGTACAGACAAAGGTTAATATATGGTCTTGCATTTCGTAGGAAAAAGGGCAAAAACTCATGTGTGAATTATCAAAGTATATTGCAGCGCTTTTGAAATTACACTTTATAAACACTGGAGAATGGAAACAAAAACACTTAAAAACATTGTTTTGCATTTAATTTTGCATTTTACTAAGATAATCTAGTCAAAAAGATTAGTAATTTGCTTCACATAAACAAACTTATAAAAGTGTGCGCATAGTAGCCTAAAGGAACTCCACTGATGTCCAAAAAGCCTTAAAGCATAAAATTTTAATGCATACTAAGATAAGCTTGGGCACTTAAAACAGAAAGATGCGCAACAGATTATTATCGAAATAACCTCACAAATAAATTGAAGTTCATATTTTTGTTTTACTTTTGGTTCGATTCGAGTGCAAAATATTTTAACACCATTTTTCAATTTTAGGTCCCTTTTCACAATCAGACAACTTAAAAAAGGAGTGAGGAAATGTTCTAAAATTATGCTCACATGGTACTGGTCTAGACCTACATCAAATGGTATATCAATCTCACAAAATATATTACTCAATACCGTACTGTCAAAACCCTCTGTGGAGTCCCTTCAAATATTAAAGCTCCAATAGCAAGCCGGCTTCTGTTCCTCCCCAACACACATTACTATCAAGATTAACTTTTACGGACCTATATACTACTCTTTATATCATCTGCCTATTCTACATTTACATTTATTTACATGAAATTTAATTCTTAACGTCAAAAACACAGTTATCTATACACTATGGAAAAGAATAAACCTGGAAAGATTGGTATTCACTTTAATAAAACAGATTATTATAAAAAATGATAACTATATAAGCATATTAAAAAATAAAACATTGGGTTCTTCAGTTTTTTCAGTATCATAGGTCATTTTGTATCACGTTGGCAGATTTTTTTTATTTTAAGACGTGCTTTGACCTTTACTTAATACAATGTAACTACAAATGATAAGGGCATGATAAACAATAGTATACCAAATCAGTTGACGATTTCAAATTTAATAAAAATCGATTTGAACAGTTTAAGCTGCCTTTTAAAAATCAAAACTCGCAGAAAGGTTTTATCTGATTAATTGAAAGTATTAGCCAAATCTCTGACCAAAGTCAAGAACTGTCTAGAGAATTGATAAAGCATGACATTTTCAACGATTCTCTCATGTTATCTCAGAATTAACTACTGTTTTAGTAACATTCCAATACTTGCAGTGTCTTTGTTTTGCGACGGGTGGTTCATGTGAAGTATTAAGCAGGTATGTCTTCAGTTTCTAGAGCTTTAGGATTTGCACTATTTATATAATATAAAAAGTATTGTACCTATCATTTAAGAAATTGCGATTGGCTATTTCTACATTGGGAAAAGTACCACGGTGTATGATTATTATTGATTTATATACATTAATCCTAACATCATGCAGCAGAGACTTTAGAATCGAATTTAACGTCCTGAGGGTAATCAATGAACATTGTAAATACTACTGGCAAAAATATATTCACAGATAAATTATGCTTAGATTTAATATTTGAAAATACATATAATTGCTATAGTTGCTTTAAAAACTCTCTTTTACATGTAAAATAAACAACTTTTTAATACAAACAGAGAAGATATGTTACTCTTCAAATCTTAACACTATAGGTGAACAGAATATAACTACATTAATAAGTCTCTTTAAAGAAACTGATCAACCAGTATTAATACAGCTTTGAAAACAAAACTTGTTTATTCTCTTATTTAAATAAGGCAAAGTCAGTCAAAATTTTCCTAGATTTCAGTTAATTTCTGCAATAAGATAATACACGAAGTTGAGCATAGTATATATTTAACGTTGCAACTCATTTAGTTTTGTTACTTAACTGTGATTTTGTATTTGGTATCAAAAGTACGACTCAGCAAATATGAGATTTTGCTTTCGTATTTTTTCCATTGTTTTATTCATTTCGTCAAATAAATAAAGCTGAAATCTTAAAATATACACAGGAGGGTTCCGCCACTCAAATATCCACAAACTCAAATTAGTTTTGTGTGAATGATTATATATATTAAACTATATATATCCACCAGAATAAGATCTTTGTAAATATCTAGTTTGATTAATTTGTTTACCAAGCAATTATCATGTAACATCAAGATGGCAATTAATCTAGAGGTACTTGTATTTTGTTACTCTTACAGAGATACACAATAAAGAGAGTACTAAATCTCTAGCATGCATTGTTTTAACTTTACCAATTTAAATGTTAATAAAGAACCCTGGGTGATGGGAGTATTTCAAATAAATTATGTTTGTGGTACTACAGAACGAAGACAAATTCAGATAAAGAAATAAGTAATTGTTATGTTACTTTATACTCTGACATAACGGTTGCACTGTCATAAAGGTAACCGCTATCCGATTAATTAATTAATTAATCAATCGGATAACGGTTACCTTTATGCAAATGATTGAAGTTACGAGTGTACGTACATTATGTGCTTCAATTATTTGTTTTCCGATTAATGAAGAAAATGTTGACATTTAAAGAATAGAACTTGCAAAGGGCTCAGATAGCTTACTCCATTACTTAACTATTATTAGTTGGATTTTTATTAAAAAAAGTTTTAGGCAAAACTTTGTAAAATGATTAAATGTTGACATTTTGAGAATATGACTTGCAAACGGTTCAGATTGCTTATTTCATTACTTAACTAATAATATAAATTGGATTTTAACATTAAAAGAGTTTTAGCCAAATGTTTGTATAATATAAATGATAACACCTATTTTCTTTCAAATCGGTTTTAGTTCTGAGCTTGCGATTATTATTCAATGTTTGGTTATTACCCATTCATCAAAATGATACATAAATGGCCATCAAATAATTAGCGTTTTGTTCTAACCAAATGACGTTGTGCTGATCATGTGACCGTTTGTCCTTCACGTAGTATGACATAAATAGAGGTTGCTATGCTAGTTATCTTATATCATGTTTTGGTTTAGACATTCAAACATGGTAAGACTTTTTTTCTTTTACTTAAAATTCCGTTTTTGTTTTTTCTTACAGATTTGAAGTTCATAACTGTTAAAAATTGATTCTTTATTTTAAAATTGTTGTTTAAGGATTTTAATTATTGACTATTTCAGTAAGAAACGATATTTGCTGTTTGCTTTATTGTTTATTCGTGAGAAACATTTGCCCGTTTTAAAGCTATAGCACAAGTGTTTGATTTACTTTTGAAAGAATTTATAATCTCAACATTTATACAGATATTGTCATTCAATTATGTTTATCATTCTATCATATCGATTGTCATACTATTTAGTCTAGAGAAATTTTCGTGCTACTAACGGCCTTTATTGCATCTCCAAAACCTATCTGCGAGTCATGGCAATTTCAAAAGTAATACAAAATCAATTACAGAGTAGTAAATTAATTATGTGTTTAAATTTCCTTAATCCTACCGTTTTTATAGCATATAACTGTCATGTGATATTTGTAGCATAATAAAGTTCACTAAGTAAGACACATTATTGAAAATGCTTAAAATGTACACGATAAACATGAAGAAGCATTACTTAAGATAACATTGTAGAATGTTATATACATAAAGTTACATATTCATTATTACCATTTTCAAAATATTCCAATTATTAATATATTAATGATTTAATAGCGCCAATAAATAAATGAATGTTTTTTTCTTACATGATGCTACAAAAGCTTTATGTAACTTGTGCTATGACTATTCCCGAAAATATAAATTATGTAACTTAAAGTAATTATGTTCCCCCTAAACCTTTGTGGGAACTGAAAAGTAAAATATATTTTAAAGTCCAATGTTTTTAATAATTCTAAAAAATATGCAAAAATGTATAATTTCTATGAACATTAGGGATAATACATAATTAGATTTTGTTAGCATTTAGCAATAGGAATATTTTCAAATATTTCACATTAATTCTTGATTGTAGTATATTTTATCAATTATCTATTTCAGACATTAGGGAAAGCCTTGTTGGTTGGCGCCCTGTCCCTTTTTATTTACGTTTTCTATTGCGAGGCAAAAGGTAAAAGAAAAAAATGAAAATACTATTGAAGATCATTGTAAGTTTAATTAAGATAGTATACAAGCAAATGATAATTAAAGACTGAATAATTATTTATGAAGATATGAAGATGTTTATAACGAATGTTTGTAATTTTTGTTAACTTTGTACTTTTCTTGTTGACGAATATAGATAATATAATTAAAGGAATTAAAATACTGTTTAAAGTTAGTCCGTTTTAAAATGACAGCGCTAGCGGAACTAAACGAAGATCAATATGAACATGTCAGATTACTTTAGAACCACTCAAACACTTTTTATTTCTTAAGTTCTTAAGAAATAAATTTTCTCAATTATTAGTTTTGTGCACTGAAACAATAAATATCCAAACCATATAAACCTACTGTTCTTCAAACCCTTAAATATTCAGTTTAGATCAATTAATTGTATATTCATATAACCTTTGTATTATTTAATTTGCAATATCAAATAATAATCATAGGTTTTGTATATTTCATCATTATTTCATCATTTTATACTGAATAAATCGTGTTTGTAACTTAAGAAAAGAGACTGAAAATTAAACAACAATGAACCAATGTATTTATGCACTACCCGAAACGAAACAACACATTTTAAGGGGCGCCGTAGATAGGTGCAAACAAAATGCGACAGAATTGAAAATAGAATTGTTTTTGTTGGATTAATCGACAACAAAGATTGATTATTGTTTGTTAATTAATTAATGTACGTAATTTTGTCGCCTTCTGTAACCTCTTTTTGAATTGTATAATCATTGCTTTTCATAAATCTAGGAACGGTTTTTTTTCCATTATTATATTCTCCTTAACTAATAATTTTCCTTAAATATATCTTTTAAAATTTTACTCTGTCCCATTTCCTCAAAAGGTATTTACTTCTGACTTATAATATGTATGCTTTACATCAACCATATAATATTTGATATGGTGTAAAACTCTAGCACAATTATTTCCAAGATGATCTCCCTTACGTCTACGACCAGGATTAAAAAGGTCGAGCGTGCTATCACTTCTGTCAGCTCTTGTTAATAAAATGTCAAGGTTCCAAAAATGAATAATATAGGTTTCAAAGGTTTTTCATAATCGTGTTTTTGTATGAGAAATTGGTGGTGATGACGGAAAGTGAAATACTCAATAAAACTTATATGAAGACGTGAATGAATAGCGTGAGGGATTATCAGGGAAGGAACTTATATAAATCTCTGGTGGAGTGTGTAACGAAACTTTCGAAACAGGTCGCTTTTTCATCCAATGGTCAATCACAGATATCTTTACATATCGTAAGGAAACTTGTCACAACCGAATCAAACTTAAGTTAGGGACACAAATGACCGAAATCTCACTGCGCATTACGTTGCATGCAACTGGAACCGCCTTGACTGAATATGATAATTATAACTGCCACTTTTTGTTACTTACGATATAAATAATATTTGCCTTTCAAAAGCAATTTTACTTTTAAGTTTTCGGTACAACATGTACTTCTTCAAACGAGAAGACGGTTTGCACTTTAGAAAACATGGTGTGTGAAAGTGGTGCCTGTGCTTGCAAGGCCGGATACAACGGGGATGAAACTTGCAGCAAAAGTTGGTATCACTAGTGTTCATTATTTGACATCACTTTCGTGACCATAGTCTCATGTGTGAGATATTTTCTACCTTTATAACAAAAAAATGTGAATTGCCACCCAGACAAAACATTTGGAAACCGTTTGTAAATGTTGCACAATATTTTATCAAAAGAGAACTGTATCTCGCAATTCATTTTTAAACTCCCTTTTACCTCTTTTCTTGGAAAAAAAAGGTTTGTCTATAGAATGATGTGCTTAAGAAATGCACAGTCTTACGCTGTATTAACGTGCCGGTAATTATACGATTTTTTCTAAATCTGCTTAGCGCATTTAATATTATTTCTGTGATTGTACAAAACGTCATAGTAAAGTCTATTACTCTGATATCGTGAAAAATATGGTAAGATTAACATAAAAACACATTGTTTAAAACGTTAAGAAAATGTATATAACTTTAAAAAATTGTTTCTATCTTTTTGTACACTAACTGCTCAGTGAAAAAGTAAAATATTTCACGATTAAAGAAACACGTACATTGATAAATATTTAAATTAAGATACATTTTGTGTGATCTTACAATATCGATAACAATCAAAAGTAAAACGATATTTTAACGTTTGAATGTATATTTAATGTATAGTTATAATGTATAGTTTTAATACGTGGGTTTGAGAAAATATCATATTTTTTCCTTATATTAATAAATGCAATGGAAAAAAGATTTGAAAGATCGAAAACAAAGTCTATTACCCTATCCGTGTTGTTGAAACGAGATTAATTTATTTAAAAATTAAGAAACCCATTCGAATTTATTCCTCCATAGAAGGATTCATTACAAAAAGGATATATATCGTTTCAGAAAGTATTTTAAATTTCATTTCAAGCATGCTTATCTATAATTACAAACATAACCTTAAAAGAAGAAAAGCATGGGATTAAAAGTAGTATAGTTCAATGCCAATTTCAATAAATTTCAGTAATTGGAGGTAATTGTAAAACAAGCAACACATGCCCTGGTGATGCAAATGCTGTGTGCCAAAGTGGAAAATGTGCTTGCAAAGCAGGCCACGAAGAGAAGGAAAGCGTTTGTACAAAGAGTAAGTTATAATATACTATTATTTAGCAGTCTTCTGATTTTTGTTTTATGGTGTTTTTTTTTATTCACAAAAATCTGTATTTTCTAAAACTTGCAGATTTTAAGTTTGTGTTGGGTATTTTAATTTTGATAACAAATGTATAAAAATGTTTAGTGATTTGCAATGCACTTGCCCACTTTTAAAAACGTTTTAATAATACAAAACGTTTATGTGAGGTCATTATTTTATCTGAACAATAATAAGCCTGATTAACAACAAAATAAAATAAACAGTCAAAAAGTAGTAAAAAATATTCATTATTTTAACATAATTATATTTATAAATAAGGGCTTTAGTCCGATTATAAAAAAACTGAAGACAAAGACTAAGATTGACGGTGTGCATATGATACATAATATCTGCATTGCATATATTGGGGTCACATAATTGTCCCATTATAATGAAAAATAGATCTAAAGAAAATGATTTAAGCAGAAAATCTCCTCATACAGCGTCACGATCTGTCCATGCTCTCGGATAATGGACACTTTTAGGAATTTCTCCATAATATTTTAGTTACATTTCAATTTGTAGAATGAAAACGTGCGTGCAATTTTAAGCAATTTGTTTCAAACTACCACTTCCTACTTATAAAAATCACTGAACTCAATTTCTTTATTACAAATCATTTTTCATGATACCCATGGAAAAAGGGTCTGTCAATGTAACATCTTCAGACATCTTTTCATTAATCATGCCAACAAAATAGGAATAAATAAATAAATAAATAAATAAATAAATAAATAAATAAATAAATAAATAAATAAAAATAATCTATGAAGCGCCATTGATTATATTGACAATATATTTTGCTCTGTTTCAAGTATATGTCGCATGAACTACGGTATGCTGAGCTGCTACATGTACCGTCGGATTATTTTAATGTTTTTGGATAATATTGAATAAATTTCAGTAATTGGAGTTAATTGTAAAACAGGCAACACATGCCCTGGTGATGCAAATGCTGAGTGCAAAAATGGAAAATGTGCTTGCAAAGCAGGCCATATGGAGAAGGATAGCGTTTGTACAAAAGGTTAATTATAATATACTATTATTTAGCAATTGTCTGATTTTTGTTTTTTGTTTCACAATGATCTGTATTTTCTAAAACCTTGCAGATTTTTTTTGTGGTAATACTATTTCAATTTTGATAACAAATGGATACAAATGTATTGTGATTTGCAAAGCACTTGCACACTATGTCTTATAAAAACGTTTTAATAATACAAAAAATTGTGACGTCATATTTTTCTGTACAATAATACGCCTGATTAACAACAAAATAAAAAAACACAATCAAATATTAGAAAAAAAATCATTATTTCAACACATATTTATGTGAGATGGACGGTGTACATATGATACGTAATATCTGCTTGGCATATATTGGGGTCACATAATTGTCCCATTATAATGACAATAGATCTACAGAAAATGATTTAAGCAGAAATCTCCTCATACAGCGCCATGATCTGTTCATGCTCTCGGATAATGGACAGATTAAAGCGTCATTGATAATATTGACAGTATATTTTGCTCTGCTTCTAATATATTTCGTATGCACTATACTTAGTTGCTACATGTACCATCGGATTATTTCAATGTTATTGGATAACATTAACTGAATTTCAGTAATCGGAGGAAATTGCAATGCAGGCAGTACTTGTCCTGGTGATGCTAATGCAGTGTGTACAAGTGGCAAATGTGTTTGCAAATTGGGTTACGAAGAAAAGGATAGCGTTTGTACAAAAAGTCAGCATTTTTCTTTGAAAATCTTTCTGTTTATCATATAACATGTTAAATCATGCTTATGTTCTTTAATTTATTTTGATATTTAATACTTCGATAAAAAGTAAATGCGATCAATATTCAGTTACCAAGCACAAGCGAAAGTAATATTTTGAAACACGTCAATTTTATGCTGTGTTATTTTTCTTATTAAATGATAAACAATATTTCTTCTTTGACTACAAATATATTTCATATATAAGATGCAATGTTTAAAAGTCTATGTATATATGTATATAAGTTTAAACGTTTTATCATGGGCATTCTAAAAATATTGTTCTGCCAACTTTTACAAATTTATATATTTTCTGTTACTTTTTCAGCTGTAGCGGGAGTTAGTTGCTCATCAGATAAAACAGCATGTGGATCCATTGAAAATGCTGCCTGTGATACAAACACAAATAAATGTAAATGCAACCCTGATTACACGATGCATTTTGTCAAATGTGAACCAAAGAACTCTGGTGAATGTTGTTTTTACATAACATGTGTTTTAAATTTGTCGAAACTACCAGTTCAACATTGCAATTTATTTAGAATAATTCTTTTACTATGGTATTTCTATGACGTCTCGTCTCTTGTTAATAGAAAAAATTATATAAAATAATACAACGCAATGGCTTAACCTTAGTTAAAACCTTTTAAAAGAAAGTAAATAACAGTTTGCCTTGTTCGTTTGTAATTGATGTAATGTAATGTAACAAGCACTTCTATCACCTTTTTCACATTATAGCTACAATGATGGAAATCTGCACTATCTCACTAATGCTATCTGTGTTGACCACATGCCTTATTGTCTTGATCTAAAAGTATCAAAAATAGTAAGTTATGTCTTTTTACGATAGATTTTATTTGATCATTGAATAATGTTTTCACAGGTGCCTCTTTGTACATTATTTCCTAAATATTTTATCTTTATTGACATGATCTTATCCTGATTCCAGTAAGATTTGACTGTCATTTAATCTTTTTCAGACTGCCCTAACAGAAATCTTGGATCATTGTGTACAAGTGTCAACAAAGATAAAAACTGTATTTGTAAAAATATACAGTGACGTTATGATATGTCCAAGCTTTATATTCAATATAATGTTAGCCAAATTTCAGTTTTTTTAGGATACACTGTGTAGAAACTTCTTTCTATGATGGCAAAAGTATACAAGTTGAATTGTAAAACTTTTCAAAATCAAAAGTAAAAAAAATATTGTAATCACAATACCCATACAATTATATAGGCTTGTTGTAGATAAAACAGTCTTTCCATTTCTACACTGTGAATAAATTCCTCTTATCGCATTTCAGTATCAATGGTGTTTGACTTCGAATTTATATAAACGCTTGTTATTTGTACATATAATTGAGCCGCGCCATGACAAAACCAACATAATGGGGTTGCGACCAGCATGGGTCCATCCCAGCCTGCGCATCCGCGCAGTCTGATCAGGATCCATGCTGTTCGCTTAAAAACCCTATTACAATTAGAGAAACTGATAACGAACAGTATGGATCCTGATCAGACTGCGCGGATGCGCAGGCTGGTCTGGATCCATGCTGGTCGCAAACCCATTATGTTGGTTTTGTCATGACACGGCTCATATGTTTTTCATCAAAAACTTTATAACAAAATTTGAATTATCTTTCCCTTTTTCATTTTCAAGCAAATGCAATAAAATGTAGACTTTTGCTTTTGAAGAATAAATACAATGTTTTGAAAATTAATGTATTTTTCCAGTTTGATATCTAAAAAGTTTTTAAGCCAATAGGAAGATCTCAAAAATAATATTAATTGTTTCCGTATAATTGCACAGATTAAATTTCTCATATCCTCGGAGCCACTTTTAAATTAAATGAGCAACTTACGTTTTATATTATCAATGATATGTTTTGTTTCTTCAATGCTTCGTTAAAGTCAATGAATTATACTAATTATTTATGTCAAAGGTAAATCTCTCAAGCGTGTCTAATTTTCATATTAATTAATGCATTAGATGCCAAACGAACAAACTTATCCAGCATACGTTTACAATTGTCCTCATTACTGTACTTGTACTTTTCTGACGTAAATAAAATAAGAATAAAAATATTGATAAGGATGCAGCTTTTATTAATCTAATGCCATGTAAATTATATGAAATTTGACAAAATCGCTAGATTGTAGTTTTTTGATATAGAAGGTATCAATACCAAAACATATTCGACCGTCCAATGTAAAATGAAAATGTAGACATATCAGCCATATATAGATATCTATCAATTCAATACTGATTCTTATCAACCTAGATAAAAGTGTTACTATTTCACTTGAAGGATCGATAATTGTGCTTCTACATAATTTTAATTTTCTTACACATTTATTCCCCTTACTTTCACTGATGCAATTGTGTAGATAGTACACAAGTCTTTCTCTTTATCTTCTTTATCTTTATAGATACAAATTTTGTATGTAAAACATAAAACGCTTTGTAAAATATCTTATTGGCTTTACCAAAATTTAGTTAATGTTAATCACACTTTTAGAGATAAGACGAGTTAAATTATCCCTAACATGTAAATATTGTAAGAATTTGTTGCCAGGAATATCTAAACAAAATGATACATAAACGAAAAATGCCAAATAAAGTAAAACAATTAAGTATTGTCCAATGACTAAATGGTTATATTTAAATAAAATATCTCATCCAACAAAACTGTAACAATGCACACAACGCATCTTGAGTAAATTTGAAATTGTTTTTCAGTTAAGCCATATTTTGCAGTTGCAACAAAGCTATTATACACTAGAAAACTATAAACTTAGTTCAAAAGATAAAGTTTTTTTTTATATCACCCTTAAGTTTTTTATATAAAAACAACTATAAACCTCTTTTTAAACTGTTTTGAGATTTTACCATGATTATGATTCATATTCACATTATTATATTATTCTCTTTGAAATGAGTATATAGATGCTGTCAATAAAAATTTATTTTATGCTTTCCAGTGTTTTATTGTAATATATCAGATGATTATATTCTGATAAACCATTAGTGAAATTTATAAAATATAATTTTCACTGTAGCCGGACTATATCTGAATGCGGATGAAAAGAAAATCATAACTAAATGGAATAACAGGCAGAAATAAATGCCGTCATGCGTAAATTTTGCTTCTTTAGGAAAAGAAAGTCGATGTCATCATACATCATGTTAAAAATGTAACAAAATTAGAGAAATTTAACAGACCTATATTTCAAAATTGATGATGTGACGTCATGATATGATGACGTCACAAAGGCGAATGCGTGACGTTACGCGGCAAAATCAGTAAAAAATACTTAAAATGACTTAAAAAGCATGAAATAAAAAGAAAATTTATTTTGTTTTACATATAAGATTGAAATATATTTCATTCGTGAACACCAGCTATCATATATTCACTCGTGGCTACGCCACTCGTGAAAATATTGCATCTGGTGTTCACTCAGTGAAATTATATTCTCAATCTTACATGCAAAACAAACAAATATCCTCTATATAATAGATATCCCCAGTTAAATGATATTTAACGCATTTTTAACTGATATGCTACAACATGTCAGTTTTGTTTTTTTAGAAACGGGCCAACGGTGTTGTAGACACATAATAAAACCATTTTTTTATCTTCATATTTTATTAAGACGTCTGTTTTAACAGACTTATAAAACTGTCGAGCGTATTTTTTCAAATACATCAAATCACTTTGTAAGTAAATAAAAGATGAAATATGATTTTGATTTTCAACCAAAAACACTTTATATTTTATAGTTTTTAAGGAACTTTATGTTAATGGACAGAATATCTGCGTTTTAGTGCCCAAAGTTTTTGTTCTTTTATGTCAATATAACTCATTTTTGTGCACTTAAGTGATATAAATCAGTTCAATAGCTCATTTGCCGTACAAATTGCGTATGATAAATCAATTCGATGACATTTGAAAAAGTAACAATATAAATTTTAAAATGCCTGTTAATAATTTGTTTCATCGTTAAGCGTTAATTTTTGAAAGGAGCAAGCAACAAAAAGTAGTGTATAAGCGAAAATTTTTCAGTTCGAATTAAACTTTTGCGAATGGCTTACCAAATAGCAAACAATTGAAGCAATGTACCAAAAGATCTTGAGAAAATTCAAAACCTAGTTTATTTTCTGTTTTGAAATTATGGCTTTTCGACGCTTACAATGCAATGGCACGAATTCGTCAAATTAAAGTTTTTGTGATAACCGCCGTATGAACACGTCAAGTATTCAAAAATCAACTATGGTCTAAGACTTTTCTTAGTCTGGTCTTTGAATTGCTTATTGTTCGACCAAAGCCTACGAACATTCAAAGAATAACAGTGTCATTTCAATAATCTTTTATTTAATGTTGTCGAATTATTTTTGTTTTCCAAAACTTTTCTTGAAAACGTATCAGCACTAAGCTTTATAATTTAATTGTTTTGTTACTTCAAGAAACATCTTTTTTTGCACATAGTTTTTTAATGAAAACATTAAGCATTTAAGACAACAATGAATCAATCATTAAACTACTTGTGATTTCTTTATGTTCTATTATAAATTTCAGACTTGAATTGAGAATTTAGAACGTTTGAGACGAAAATGACATTGCTTACCGGTTTGGTAGAAAAAGCAACATTAACAAACATTTTGTAATAATTAGATTTGCAACTGCATAAAATTCTTAAGGTGTGATTTAAAAGTCACTTTAAATAATGCAACGTACAACAACGCTCGTTTTAAACTTAAACAAAAAAAAGATAAACATTTTAACATTTTGATTTTAAGAAATGCTGAATTTTAAAATTTAGTTCTGTCAAATGTATAAATTTATGTTTTTGATTATTGCTTTTCTAAAAATAAACATGGACTATAATTGTAAAGTGTAATCATTAACCAAAATGCATTATTTCTGTCTGTTTATAAGGTATATATTTGGTGATGCATATGGTCGATTCCACGCTAGTATCTTCAAATTTAGTACATTTAATTATAACACTTCAACATATGTCTGCAACACTTTAAGAACCTTGACAAATACTTCTGATTTTTAAACGATTCGGTCAAACGACATTATCTCTGTAAATTGCTTGTATTCTTGAAGTAAATAAAACATGATAAATCACGTTATAAAGCAAACAGTATGTAAAATCAACCCATGAGCAATAAAGGCCTACGCAATTACGTTTTTATTTCTAAACGTCTGATGGAAACAGTGATTGTTTGTTTAAATTAGACAACTGTGGATGACAATGTACTAATAAATAAAAATAAAACTTATACATTTCTTCAGTTACAGTACCATAGAACGATAACAGTATGTTCTGAAGTCCCGCTATCTTTATCTTGTTAATTGGATTATTTTAAATGTCTTGATAATGTGGCGGTTATCAAACATGTACTAGACTTATAACATGCCTTAGCCGGTGATTGTTTACGAAACACGAACACACATGCAACGAGGCAAGTCTTCAAAATGCTGCTTTATTTAAAGTGTTACGATTGAATGCACACCTAACTTCATAATTATAGTACAACTTATAACAACTGCGATCATGACTCAGTGGTTGACAGTCATTTTACTGATTTTAAGATGGGAGCTCTAAGATGGGAACAAGACACTAGTGCTTACCCTTCATTTTCCCTTCACAGTCAGTGGCATACTAGTAGTTATATATTTACGCATATCTTATACTGGTAAATAACTTATGTGTTTCAAAATTATTAATAATAAAAGCTTTAAAAACGTATGACCTATATAAATCTTTAGTTGTTGGTTAGATAAGGATATCGCATCAAATATTACTGTTACCCTAACTAAATAGGGGTTACTTACTGACGGTAAGCAATACCTTTCCAATATCTAAAATTATGGGATTAAACCGTAGGTGTCACTGTGGTCTCGGCCGTTGACCTCAAAATCAATAAAATATATTATAATTCGACACATACATTGCCTATTGAACATGGACCTTGTCTATACTTATTAGTATTTATTAGGGGCGTTCCTGGACGAGCGTTCAAACCAAAAGTACCTCACCGTTGTGGTACGAATTCAACAAGGAACTTTGGATTCTTTCATTTTAAGACGACTATAGACGCTATATGACATATTTTGTGTTGATGCGACGCATGGCTTATTTCTTCACAAGTTATTGTTTTGACAAGGATTAAATTCACTTTTGAACAAATTATCTTAAAATCCATAGGGTCATTAAATGCAAATTCCTACCAAGTAATGTATAGGCTTGTTTTTCGCAAGAAAAAATAGGACACGATTGTTTTATTAGGTGTCACCTTGACTTCTAACCTAGAGATCTTCAAATCTATAGGTGCCAT